TTCCCAGTCAATTCATAGTTTTATCTGTCTCTTACAGATACGCAGCGCTCATTTTTGTACACATGCCCGAGTTCGCCGAAAAATCGTCGCGCAGCTTCACATTACGGTAAGAGCACTGAGTTTTTTAGATGATTTTATTTCGAAATGGGTACTGTTGCTACTTTAAAGCTGTCTTTAGGGTGCATTTTCAATGTCAGCTGGAAGTTTTTTTTTTCACATGCTTCAGCTTAAAATAACGGTTATAGAAATGACTTCAGGAACTGTTTTATTGCGTTCTCAATTTGTCTTCGTTCAAATTTTAGCCAATAAAATTGCATCAATCGGCAAGTTTACCTGATTGAAATTGACAGCCTCCCGAATAGAACACGAGCTTGATCTTTGTGCTCGTGATTTTCTAACTAGGCAACTGAAAATATTGTATGTGATACGAGTGTTTGATAATTTTTTATAGAGTTTTATGTTTTGTTCAAAAAAAAATTGTAGGAAATGTCTCTATTTTTAAATTGACACAAAAAAAGCCGAACCACTTGAACTTAATTTTGGCTCCGCAGATTAGGGGCCTGTATACCGACTATGGTCATATAAATAGGCACGTACGTATGGCGCACAGTGGTTACAAATCAAAGGCAATCGGAAAAAAGTCAATATCTCACAAAAGGTTAGCCCAATCAAGCTGATCAATGTATAAAGAAACTTCCCGGACCATGTGATAGGTATTTAGAAAAATCAAAATTCCAAAAGAGACTATGTATATGCATATTTGTTCACCATTTTTTATTCATCAGATTATGAATTTGTCGTCGAAAGCACCTAAAAAGCGATTGTTGTCAAATAGTTTGGTAATGGTGCTTGTTAAACTTTATATAGATTGCATGAAGTTTTAGAGCGGAAAAGGAAATAGGCGGCTGTCGGAAACTGATTTTTCTTTTATCTAGTAGTAAATAATGTATGTATTACTGAAATATAGTGCTTCGTTTGGAGAAGTGTGGAGCTTATTTTGTAGGCCTCTTAACCCTTTTGCTTTTCTTTTTTGAGAGTCACAAAGAATATGATAACCGGAGGAACTATCACTTATATTTTTTGTATAAGACCTTATCTATATGTAATATAAAAATACCAACCACGCTGTCAAGTCTAAGTAGCGACAAATCAGCTGCACTTGATAGCAGTAGGTTGAAAAAGGAAATGAATTAGCAACAAGAGTTTACGGGCTCAGTGGTTAGCGCTTCTGACTTTGCACATCGATGATGCCTCTAAGTACCTTTATCAGGGGATTTAAGTGGCCCTCTTACATTCTCTTTTAAGACTGCTTTAAACTGAAACCCTATTGAAGGAGGGTGGGCACTTAGGCCACGTGGGCCTATTGTAGTACCGTTGAGAGCTCGTATTCAACCCGGTCCGCTCAGCTAGAAGTATAACCAATTACACGGGGCTGCGAAATTTAATTTTATTTCCATAATTGTGTTACTTTTTTAAGTATCAAGGTATGTTGAATAAGAGTAAAACATTGTTCTTTTTTTTATCACATCGAAATTTATTTTTAACAATTTTCATGTAAAGCCAAAAATTAGGCAACCCAGAATTAAATTTTTATTTAGAAAACAAACAGTACCTATTTATTATTTAAAATTACCCCTAAAGAGACTAAGTAAATCTCAAAGGCTTATGGAAATTCGAAGTTAACGCTAGTAACACTAAGAAAAATGAAAAAGTAATTTTGTCCTGACCAAGTACCTTATACCTACCCAAATTGTCAATTAGTTTTTTTATGGTGAAAACCATCGCAGGCCCGTTTAATACAAAACGTGAAGACATGCAAATTTAAATTATTTCTTAAAATTGTCATTTGAAATTTTTACTTAAAAAACGATAGTTTTAGTCAAAAATAGCCTAAAGGCAAAGTAAGTCAGAAAGACATTCAAAAATTCACGCTAGTAATACGTGATAACATTAAAGAATATGAAAAGACAAATTTTCTCGGAAAATTTATTTGCTGGAATGGTTTCCTTTTCCCTTTTGCTAATTAGTTTTTTTAGGGGAAACACCTAAGCAGGCCTAAGTTATCCATTTCTATAAGCGTATATGCTTGCGTTCGGGTATGGAAAAACACAAAGTACAAATGTTTTATTTTTTTTTAATTGCATGTCTTTAATTTAACTTATGAAGCACTAAAACAGAAATCCACGAGCATCTGCAATCCATGTTAATCACACATTAACTTTTTTCTGTCGAATGGCTGCTAACTTTTCTTTATTTCTCATCAAACCAGCTTCAGACGACTTTTCCTTTACAATATTTAGGACATAGACAAAGTTTTGTTGCATGAATAACTTGTGATTATACATTAATGAAGCAAACAGACATGTAAGAAATGTGTGTAAGTGTCACTGGAGTGCAGCATGCTTGCTCCCAGTTATGTATGTGTTTATATCTGTTGCTAAGTGCAAACAACATGTCTGCCACAGTCGGATTTATGTATGTCACAAACATAGAAAGTGTGAGGAGTCACTGCCATTTCATGTAAATACCCTGCAAAAAGTGGGACTAGGTTAAATACTAGTACAGGACGACGCTACCTTGTAACCAACACTAGTAACCAAAATGGTCCAAATAAATGGAGAAAATATGGTTACATTAACATTACGACAACTACTCCTTTTGGACCATGGCACATTCGGCAACCGAATCATGTTGCCGATGGGGCACGAAGAGGTGGTTCTCAACACATATAGCAGTTTTTTTACGTTTGAAGTGGTCCAGGTCAGCATAACAAGTTACTAGTATGCAACCTGGTCCTCTTGCACATATTTTTAAACCACGACCCAGTGGACCACCTGGTGCTCAAATTTTTGCAGGGTAGTAAATCCACATATATACATACATATATCTGAGTGGCTAATGGCACTTCAAGTTTTTTTCTTTTGTATTTCAATTTAAGAGCCCAAGAGTTCGTTGGATTAATTTCGAAAGTAGCAAATTAATATTCTTGGCACTTTTGTTGAACTATTTCCACTTTTGCGCAGATTTGTGTAGACATATGCACATATGTATACATTTACGTACGTTTTTTTGTACGTTTTGGGTATACGAATGTAAATGTTTTCTTTATTGAAGTTTGCAATAAGAACTTTCTGAGAAATTTAATCGGACTTCGCTCAAATGCGAAGGGGGGATTCAAGCAAACAACAAAATTTGTAGAAATAATATTTTTTTTCTGTCGTGGTTTTAACATCTCCGTTTAGGTGAAAATGTGCCTCATCGCTAATGATAGCTTTTTGAGTCATGTCAATTGAATTTTTTTAGGTGCCTGCCTAAACATAGGAACAGTTCAATTGCTGTGTACGATGACAAATTGAGGTTGTCAGGCCTGGTCCACACATTGTTCCACGGCAGCAATATTTTCGGCCGAACGACCTGTGGGAAGACGCACTGGTGTTGTTGCCAGCAAACGGCAGATTGCTGATTCTGATGGCCGGGTATGTTGACCGAAAAAATAAAGCAATGCGCGAAATGCAGTTCTTGTAGAAAGACCATTTTCTAAAAATGCGTTATTCAATTGAATGTCGCTTCTTGACTTAGTTTGCCAAGGCCCGTTGTACCAATTTTCTGCAAAAAAAAAAGCATCACCCTTTAGTGAACCTATACATATATCAGTAAATTTGCTTTACTTTTTAACGTTATCATTTTCTGTTACTTGCTACACACAAATCAATTGTCTTTTCCAGGCATTATGCGCAATTCCACCACAGCATACCATCGAGATCCATTCCGACACTCTGCGCCAATTGGCACGAACAACACCAGCGCCTATCATCAGCGTTTTAGTGACTGTAGCAGCAGTCACGAGCTCACAACGTTGACTTCGTTGAGCGGTGCGACGGGCATGGGACACTACGGGCTCGTCATGAGAAGGGACCACATGAAGGTGCCCATGCGAAATGGTACTCGTAACACCGAAGAAGTCGCCATTGCTCCACGTCAAATGTGGTCAGCGACAGCGGATAAGGCTGACACAGATCCGGACACACCACCGGTGCTGTCCACAGTTGTTGGTGTTAACGTAGATACAACAAATGTGCGTGCCATATCCTGACATTTCGATCGCTCTTGCAGCCTCTACAACAGCAGTAGAAGCGGTGGTGGTGGTGGTGGTGGTGGTGCTGGCGATAAGTTAGTTAGCGGAAGCGTAACGGAAAGCTTGGAATACAAAAATGTTAACGGTAGTACAAAAACATTTGATATCAACATAGGCAACGTAAACGGCAACGGCAACAATAACAATGGCCGTGCAAAAGTTCCAATGGGAAATGGCAGCACAACAATTGGCTTGACGACGACTACAAAAACCGCAACAACGACACTTCTGTCGACAAATACGCCACGTGGCATTTTTGTAACGGCGACAACAGATGATAAGACATGGCTGTAAATTAGCTGCATAGATAGTAAAGTGTTTAGGAAGAATGTCATTCACGATTTAATTTAATCATCAGCCCATTCCATGTTAGGGATGTTTGCATGGTTTGTTCCCATTGTGGTTGGGTATGGTTTACTGGCGGCTAGCATTTGTAATATCATAGCTCTGCTGGGGTATAGTTATTGCTTAAACCCACAAATTCCCGATACCGCCCATCTCGGCCATTTCGAAACTAGTACCGCGAGTACAGCGGTTCCCACGCCCAATTTCAAGTCACACTTTTTTTTTTTTTTTTTTTTTAATTTAAGCTTAAACTCGGGCATAAGCATAGCTAGGAATTTTGTTCACCTACTTCTCCGATTCAGGCGACTGTGGGCCGTTTCTAAAAATCATGATATGTAAGTACGAATAATGCAGCTAAAATCAGTTAAAGTAAAAAATAACTGTTATATATACATAAATCTTCTTATACGTATGTATATTTGAAAATGTTATTGTCTCATAAATAATTTAAGCTAAAACATGTAAATAAAAGCCATTTCAAAAAAAAAGTTGAATTAATCTACATTACGTTTGAATAAGTGATAAAGATTTAAAGTTCCAAATATTTAGTACATAGTATTAAATTTTAATGCTTTTCAAAAATTCTTTTAAACCAATCCAATGGATAGAAAAGTATAGCAAATGAATAGATTTGTGTAATTATATAAAGATGTAATATGATAGAATCGCGTACCATGATCAATGGATGAGAAAATATTTGTTTACAGAATTTATGAAAAATAAGTGTATGTGTGTACATATAATGCAGAAAACCCGAGGTTTCAAAACTTTTTTATGCGTACCTTAACATCGAAACAAGTATATCATATAACCATCCTTTTTTTTAAGTCTGTTAACAACACTTAACTCCTTTTTGTTACGCTACGCACACACTGTAACCCACGATATAGACAACAAAGGGGCTTTATAGAAATATATTTAGCTGACTCGTTTCTTATGGCGTTTTCATTTGCAAAAAAAAAAATCTCCTTTTCATTTGCCCGGTTCTTAGTGTTTGTACTTAAAAGGCAATGAAAAGGTAAAATATTTCGGTAGAAACGAAAACGTCGGTGAGTGTGCGCATCAGTTCGGACGGTCAAATTGTCCGACTGAAATCGTTCGTCCTATCGGATACAGTGTATGCCTGGCGATATTGGTGTTCCCACATTATGGTACGATTCTCATCCTAGGCATGTTTAAATTTTTCATTGGGCGGTGTTTTAACGTGGCGGGACCCAAACCCAGCGCACGCGAGGTTTTACGAACTTCTCACTTTAGCTCGCACCCAAACGGGTATTTGGTCGCTACCCAGAGGATACGTGGATATATGTAAATATCCGGACGTCGTGAGCTGCGATTTGAACCGTACGCACAAGAAACACTTCTGGTCACTCCCAGGTGAATGGCAGTCAAAAGCTTTCTCCACTTACGTGGACTTCTGCGCATGAAACCATGAGAATTTTAGACAAATTTGCTGCTCTGAAAAAGTGTATGCAATAGCCTTACTCACTTATGTACAGTAATAATTAAATACATAAGTATGTATGTATATTCTTTCCTTTTTGAATTTTCTAATATATTTAGAATTTTTTGCCTAAATTTTTATTAGTATTATTATCGAAATCGTTATGGTTATCGATAGCACTAGCGTGTTCGTATTTGATATCACTACCGGTAAAGGGTTATAACTGTACAAAAAACTCTCCACAAACAACATATGTATTTATGTATATATGTAAAAACAAGAAACGTGTGATTGGTTTTACTTTTAGTGTGTCTAATACAAGTATGTATATGTACATTTAAACATAGCAAAAAGTATTATTAATATGTAGTCTAAATGTTTATATAATTCTGTATATACTACTCAAAACTAGACTACAAAAATTGTTATCAAAATGCATCTAAGTAAATCAGTTTCCACAAAAAAAAAAAACAACAAAGTACCTACTAACTAATTAGTTAATTGTTGAAGCTGAAAGATATTTATCGATGTTGCACTGAATATATTTGTATTGTATAAGCATTTACAGTTATGACAAAAATTAGCATTTTAAATCATCATTGTACGCTCGAATGAAAATAAATTTAAAAAAATACATATGTATAGTTTACGATCTGAAGCAGGTTATTTTGTAAATATGCATATATGCTCCATTGTGTTAAATACTTACTTTGTTACACTAAAACATAATTTTACTGAAAAAAATATACAAGAACTTGAATGTCACCTTGTTGTTTACTTTCGAGTATTTACTTGTACTTACATAGGTAGACACAGGGGCGCACCCAGGAATATATTTTAGGGGGGAGGGGGGTTTATATTTCTGAAGATATATCACCGGAAAATACTGAAAATTTGCTTCAGATAATACCCTCTTTAATATACATTTATGCAAGTTTTATGTACAGTATGTAATAAATAAATAAACGTTTTAAAATTCATAAACTGCACTTTATTTACAGATTAACAGAACTCAAACGCTTTTAACCGACTTCAAAAAAAAAAGGGAGGTTATCATCTCGCCGGAATACATAACTTTGGACAACGTGAACCGTTTTCAATAATCCTTTTTTTATTAGAAAGATAGTACCTCAAGGTTCGTCCCGTAATTTGTTTTAGAACTCCGATGATTGGATCATGAAGAAATTAACGGTACCCCTAAATTTGAATATGAGAATTGAAGTTGGTTGTGTTCTTTCCTTAAAAACTACTTGTTTAATAAAAAGTTCTATAAACTTAAGATGCGCTCAACTTTCAAAAGTACCTAATAAAAAATTTTAAAAAAGAGTCAGTAAAAATTAATTTATTGTTTCCATGAACTTTTGCACTTTTATGTTCATTTTTTCGATTTCTGGTTTCTGGTTTTCACGATTGCTAAATTTTTTTAATATTTCGAGCTCCGAAAAAATTAACTGAACTCTCAAGAAAAACGAAAAATTCATATAAAACGACGGACGGAGAAATGGAAAAGAAATTTTCTTCTACCAAAATTTCTTAAATCAGTTTGCAGCTCTCAAGAAAAAAAATGCTCGTATATTTATTCCCTCATGAAAATTTACAGCAAAAGCAAAGCGCTTTTTCAAGCAACAGAAATTATAATAAATATTTCTTATAATTTCCTTGGGAGCTGGATTCTTAGCTTTAAGATACAGATTGTATTTGAGGTTATTAGCTTTAGGGGGGGGTTTGAACCCCAAAACCCACCCCTTGTGTGCGTTAATGGGTAGACACCTTAGCCGAGCACGCAAGTTTGCTTTCATCACTGCAAATAAAGCACCAAACAGCGGCGTTAAAATGCAAAAATTGCTCTGTAGCCAAAACTGGGTAAGTACTAGGGAGATTGACTCGGTTTTTGCAAACCGGTTTCCACCGGGTTTTTTCTAATACTTTCAAAAAATTTTTTTTTTTTTTGAGTTCTTGATTTTTCCAATACTAAGTAAACTGGATTTTTAAAATCGAATAGGTTGTCATCTCGTTTATTTAATAGTCTAATAATTCTAACACTCAATTTCATAAAGAAGACTTTAACTCCTTTATAAATCAAAAATTTATATTAAAACGTCACTTTATAGAACTCTTTAATTCTATTTAATTTTTTTATGAATAAGGCCATAAATATTTTATTTAATGAACATTGGAACTTTGAGATAGAAATTTTTTATTTATTTTATATCTGAATGCTGGAAAATTGTCCACTGCAGAAACTATTTAAAAAATAAATGAATAACTGAACGAAAATCTTTCAGTTTTTTTTTTTGTAGCAGCTTACAAAACTCTACCTAAATCAGTGGCTTGAACTGCGTCATTCTTATCTAACAGCAGGCAGGCTGAGGAAAAGGTCAGTTTGGGCAGTTGGGAATGGGATTTTCAGTGAAATGGTGTGAGTGGGCATGTTCAGAGGCCGTTAACATCGTCGGATCACTGTTTTTTAGAGGGGCTGAACAGTTTAAGCTGCTACAATGTCCAGAATGGAGTTGCGCCAAAGTATCGCTAGCAACTCAAACTATTCAAGGGGTGAAAGTTGAACAAGGTGTTGATTGATTCTCGGTGAATGGACTGTCTATAAAAGACTATATTTATAAAGTGGTCTGGTATTCTCATTTCCAAGACTGTCGATTCTACATGCTCGCGTTTTCCCGACAAAGTACTGATCAATCTTGTTAAGATCGATGTACCCCGTTAAAAGCGAATTTTTAACTCTGACACTCTGAAATAAAAAATCATCATTTTGGGAGAAAAATCGTCAAAGCGTCATTGGGGTAAAATAACATAAAAATGACTACGAAATTATTGATTCGGCAACGCTGGTCATAGCGACGATGGAAATAACAGCGTCAACCGAGTGAAAATTCTGCTAAAGTAACAGGAGGCAGCGCCGCTTGTGATAAACTTGCTTGTCTCACTACTCGTGCTATAAATTCTTAGTCTGTTCCTTTGAACTTCGGACTAAAACCTGTGGAACTGTCAAACTACAATTTTACGCTCTCAAATGAGAGTAAAAGGAGAACAGATGCAGAAGTGCATAGGAACGCAAAAAGCACTATTTCCTGTAAAAACGTCAGTCGGTTTGTTTACATGTCATTTGTACAACACTGATTTAGCTGAAATATCACTAAATAATTATTAAAATCTATACATATTCAAACATTTCGTTGTTTACTTCCATTTTTTTTACAAATATAAGGTACTTTGCTTTCACCGCTGTTAGTTTTTGCTTGCACATGCAAATCAGCTGATCGTTTGACACTTTTCATGAACTTACAGGAAAAGAAACTCCGGACTAAATCCTGTAACTTCTGACTAGGAACAGTTGCTCAGTTACTCTCTCAAATGTGTTCTCACTTACAGGTTTTATGTCACTAGGAACGACTTCCTGTAAGTTCTGACTAAATCCTGTAAACCGGACTGCTATTGGAACAGACTATCTAATTGCTTCGATAGTCGTCATGCGTCTTCTGTGTACTGTTTATTCTGTGGCCGTATGTATGCACCCGCGGAGTCTGCATAACCGGATGTAGTAATCGTTGTTGCTGCATAAGCAGCAAATTTTTTGCTGCAATACACATGCAAGCCCTTCGAAATTTTCTGCTGGGTTATGCGTTACAGCTTCGCAAATTTTACCCCTACCGAAACCAAAGATGTATACACATCAAAAAGTGTTATACAGTATTCCCCGCCGCTTAAACGTACTTCAAAAATTTCACAATTTTTGATTCAATTAACCGGATAACCAATTAACCGATTATCGTTTAATTGAGCAGTTCGTTCAATTACAGAAATTCCGCTAAATTGGACAACCTAATCTATTAAAAGAAAATGCATAGAAGTAGCATAGCATTAGTTTGTATACTAAATGCGTGGAGAAGAGCCAAGGCAATTGTCATTGCGAAGGTCGGAAAGAAGGACCCTCTCACTCCAAAGTCCTTCAAGCTACTCTACCTTACTTCATTCGTACGAAAAGCCTTAGAAATGGTTATAAATAACTAAGTAAGGACTGCGGTGTTATTGGACTTTCCTCTGAACTAGTGTTAGCACATATTTCTTCTTATTTGGCCCTACAACTGTTCATCGGTTTGGACCGAGTTCGAAAACTTCGGCAAATTTCTATCTCCTATGCAAGCGCCAGTTTTATATCCCGAGTCCATACAGGTCCTTCTGCACTTGGTTCTTCCATTATGTTTGTGGGCACTCTTTCTTTCGTTACCCACCCATGGGTGCCGAGTCTAAGGATCTTGTCACTGGAGTCTCGTCATCCGGCACAATCATTTAATTTTTTTACACTTAACTATGTCCAGGTCGTTAAAAAGCTCATACAGTTCGTATTTACTTCTTCTTCGACACTGGTCGCCTCAGCGTTCTGGACATAGTTCTTGCGGAGAATAGTTATCTCAAAAGACTCCAATCCCTTCTCAACTTTATCTGACATCGTCTATGTTTCTCCGTCCTATAACAGGACGGGCAT